TCCTCGTTGGAGCACCTGCGCAAGGGTGTAGCTCCCCCTTGATCCACGCAAAGATCAAGTGCTCTCTACGGGCTGATTCTTTGACACTACATCACGGTGAATCACCCACAACCGCTCACAACATGACTTATGTCATCCACAAGCTCCACCAGATGATCACCAAGCTTTCAACCACCAAGCCGTCTAGGTGATGGCAATCACTAAGAGTAACAAGCACAAACTCTCACTTTGATCGAGACAAGCCTAATGAGAAAGGTGGATGCACACTTGCTACTTCCTATACACTAATGGGTTCCTTAATTTTAGATTATCAAATCTCAATCACCCCACTAGGCTCTTGCTCCCCCTTGCACTTCAAAAGTGTTTCTCAGCTGAACAAATGGTCACGAGACCTCAAATGGACGAGTGGGATATATATTTATACTCCCCCATTCAAAACATAATGGTTGAGGTCCAACTCAGCAACTATCGGGATGACCGAACGCTCCGGTCAAGGTGACCGAACGCACCGGTCAGTGTAATACGTCAGTGTGCCAGAAAGAGCCGTTTGCTCTGATCGGACTCTGTCCTGCGTCCGGTCGGCACCCACCGGACGTGTCCGGTCATCAAAAACCCTCTCTGGAACCTTACTGTTGTTGACCGGACGCTGGCACTCAGAGTCCGGTCATTTCTCTGTTCAGCGTCTGGTTCGTGGTCAACAACATGTCCACGCTGCTACAGATACGGCTAGCGTCGCGTTTGGTGAGCACTGGTGTCCAGCGTCCGGTCGCATTCTAACTGCTGCTGCCGATCAAATGAACAGATCGGACTCTCCAAGATGCGTCCGATCATAACCAAACCAGCGTCCGGTCAGTCATTTGACTCTCTATTTACTTCCAATTCAAAATTCTTTGTGAATGAAGTTGACCTCTATCAATTTTAGGGCTATTCCTGAGCTACCTAGTGCTAAATTTAACAAGTGCGCACCACACCTAATCCATTAGGCTCACCTAGGTTAAGTTATTAGTCCATACCCCCCTTAATAGTACGGCCAAAGGAAAAACAAAGTCCTATACTACTCTAAGTGTCTCTCCAACACCAAACGACACTTAAATCTAGTTCGTCCTTAACCTTGTCGTACATTCTTTAAAAAACCGAAACGATTTTCATCAAAAGGGGCATGACAACCATGATTGCCTAATCAATTTCTATTATCATGACATAACTCAAATTGTCTCTGTAAAACACACGTTAGTCATAGTAATCTCGTATCGTCATTAATCATCGAAACCCAACTGAAGGCTTAGATGCTTTTAGGGGCCTCTATAGATCCACCCCTCAGCAGGAGCAAACAAATATGCAACACGGAAACTTGATTTGAGACATAGAAATTAGAGTGTACGAAAATAGGGAATACCTGTGTGCATAGTACATAAAATGAAGTAAAGCCTTGTTTAAATCCAGGGGTTAAAATTTATGGGTGTCACATCAGGGTGTCACATGGAAGTGTTCAGATAATAATAAAACAAATTACAGAAGTCCTCAGTACTCCGCGAGATAAATTTATTAAGGCTAATTAATCCGTCACTAGCACATGCTTGCTATTTCTTTACTGTAGCATCACATTATCAAATCATAGACTAATTAGGCTTAAAAATCCATCTCGTAAATTAGTCACAATATGTGCAATTAGTTATTTTTTAGTCTATATTTAATACTCCATACATGTGTCCAAATATTTGATGCGATAGAGACTAAACTTTAGAGAGATGAACTAAGGGCAGTCCCAATAATGAAAACTATGCACAATATCTAAGAAAACCACATCAGCAAAAAAAATCATCAATAGAAACTACATCCCATAGTGCTAAGTCTTTACATAGTAAATATCTCACTTTTTTTCTCTCTCCCATATCCCTTACCCTCTCCTCTCCTCTAATCTATACTCTCCCAACCTCAGATGCAGAACGCACGCAGGTGTGCTAACGCCGCCGCCGTGCGAGCGAGCGCACTGCAACTCATGAGCGCTGGCGAGTGGACGGCCAGCGGAGCTAGCACACGCAACGACGGCAGTCGATGAGCGTGCAGAACGCACATAGGTGGGCTAGCGGTGTGCGAGCGAGTGCACTGCAGCACGCGAGCGTGGCTCCGGCGAGCGGACGTGGCGGGCGAGCATGGCGACTCCGGCGAGCGGACGCGGACAACCAGCGCGGAGCAGAGGAGCCTCGCTTGGCCTCCACCTCGCCATGGAGGGCCGCATGCTCGCAGGCGGATGGCGAGCGGCCTGGGCGGCGGTGGCAGCAACCTGCAGCGACCGCGACCTACATGAACCTATGGCGGCCTAGGTGAGAGACCTGCGGCAGCGGTGGCATGTCTGCTCAGGCCTAAGCACTTCCCTACAGTAGCGACAGCTTGCGGGACGATGGCGTGGCCTTCGCGGCAGCGAGCGTGGCCTGCTGCACGGCGGCGGCTTGCACGACGGATGCGAGGAGGCGATGGAAACTGGTAGTTTCTCCCCAACGTAGTTTTTCTTGTTTCTTCGTGCATCGTTTCGTGTGTCGACGTCGTTCCTTCAGGAAGAAATGATTTCTTCGTTCTATACCCTCTCTCCTCGATAACTCCTTTGCCATGTTAGCAAATTGCTGAGTTGTATCCTAACTAAGAGGGATAGAAACTACCATTAATATTTCATTGGGTTGACCTTACGAGGCCTAAATATCTGATTATCCATCTCGCCACTTTGTAACAATGACGTGGCATTGCAATTGCAATTCCACGGAACATCCCCCAAGTTCCCAAGATCCCAACCATGACTCGAGGCCACCAACACAAACGGAAATGGTCAAGAAGCAATCTTCTCATTCGAAATAGAAATTCAAACGTTCGAATTCAACGGCTCTCTTTGCCCGTCCGTAAGTCCATTCACTTTCGATTTCACGGGATTTATGGCCGTCACAATCCAATCGACGATTTCAAAAAAAAGGGGAAAATTGGCCATCTAAGGATCACAAGATTCGGAAAATACCACTCAAATATCACGGCCATATAAAATACCACCGAAAGAACGATCTGTTACCCGAAACTACCATTCTGTCACAGTTTGGTCTAACGACGTGAGTCCACCGTTGCTTCTCCCTTCTTTCCACGTGAGCATCGGTAGAAAGTCCCATCCCCTTTGTCTATCTCAGCTCCGGCGTAGGTCTCAATCCATTGTAGGATGGAGTCCTGGCGTATCAGCACAGCCTCTGGTGGGGGAGGGCTTCAATGTCCTGTAGCTTAGGCGATAGAGCTGACGTGCCTTGGCTATGGACTCGCTGCAACCCTCATCGACGGGCACCCGCGCCCCTTCCCGCACCCAGCATCAAGGGCATGGACCATGCGGCGTCCTCCTGGGCGTACCCCAGGTGGCAAGCCGACGCCGTACATAGGAGTCCGCGCTCCGCCCCAAGTTCTGCGCCAACGGACTCGATGGGAAGGATCTCATCCTTCTCAGTAGTACTAGTACACATGCATCTAGGCATATCTAGCTCTTTTCTTGCATGCATGGAACTATGGAAAGGTACCTAGCTGATCTAACCCACGAGGCTATGAGCGGACACGATTATGCAGCTGAGCACATGGTCGGGCCCCGCGGCATGCTTCTTAGCCTTCTTCCTCTAGGAACAGCTATACAACTTCCCGCGGCACCGTGCGAGCTCTGCAGAGGCGGCGGTGGCACGCGCGCAAACTCGACCAGCCGGGAGGCAACGGTGGCGCACACGCAAACTCTACTAGGGAGGTGGCGGCCCACTAGGGAGCTTGGCCGGGGTGGTGGAGTCACGCGTGCGAGCTCTGCTGATTAATACATATCAGGTTCATCAATTCCCGAAGGTGACGTCCAGCGTTATGCAATTATACATGATTAATACATATCAGGTTTATCAAAAGTATGAACCATGCAACATAGCTGGTCCATCCATGATCATGTAGTTCCAGCATACTAACTAATTGCTTGTCACCACAAACTTAAGAAAATCCACAGATTCAATATTAACATCATCATCTTCTCTATAGAAAACAATTCATAAAATCAACATTTAAATACCAAAACAATTATAAAATTAAAATTCATATGAAATAACTGAAAATAATGATTACATACCAATAGAATATATGTACACTTTTAGATCAGCTCGTAAACAACTCGTGAGCTGGCTCATCGAAACAATGAGCTAAATTTTCAGCTTACCTCGTAAAAAAATTAAAATAAATTGAGCTATGCCGACCACGAGTCGAATGAGTTAACAAACCGTGAGTATTTTGTCCGGACATAGAGCCAGCTAGCCCAGCTCGGCCACTCCCTCTCTTCTCTGTAGGCTGTAGCCCGTTGGGCCGTGGCGTGACGGAGCTGAACGCAGGTCTGCACTCTCGAGCGCCGAGCGCGGCAGCGCGCGCTCTCTCTCCCCAGTTCCCGCTTCGCACGACCACCACCCTGCCTACAGCACACGAAACCCGACCCTCCCTCTCAGTCCAGACGCCGTAACCTCCGCACCGACCCCACCTGTCATTGACTACCCAGAACCCCTGTCCGTGACGGAAGAATTGCGCGGGAAACCCGCTGGTCGATCCCGCGCTCCCGTCCCGTCATCGCGCGCGCCCCGACGCCCGCCCCCGTACCCGCCACCACGGGCACCCCGACGCGGTGACGTGCATCCTACTCCCTTCAACCGACAAGTGGCCCCGGCGGAAGTCAGTGTACTCTGGTCCCACGAGTCAGCCGCACGGGATGAAGAGCGGCGGGTGCCGGCGGCCGACTCGCCGCAGCCCGCCCATAAACCCACCACGCCCCCCCGCACGGCCGCCCCCCGTGTGACTGTGACCGTTGTGTTTGCCGCTTCCCCCTCGTTCCCCTCCACTCCGCCTCCTTCCTATTGGGCGCGCCGGCGCGGTTCCCTTCCCCTATAAACCCCGCCGCACGGCCCGCACCGGAGAAATCCCCCAATCCCAATCCCCGTCCCTCGCTTCCCGCTGCCCGGAGAGCCATGGCCACCGCCGTTTCCACCCCCGCGGACCTGTCGCCGGCGCCGGCACCGAAACGGCGGGGCCGGCCGCCGAAGAACCCGGCCCCCGCCGACCCGGCGTCCCCGCTTGCCGCGCCGGCGGAGGAGGTGATTGGGGACTACGAGCGGCAGAGGGCCGCGAGGATCCGGGAGAACATGGAGCGGATGCAGAAGCTCGGCATCCTCGACCTCGCGCACAACCTCAGCCAGTCCGCCGCCTCGGGTCGGGGTGCCGGCAGCGGGCGGCGGCGACGGAAGCCCGTGGAGCCGGCGTCCGTTGACGCGGCCAGGGTGAAGCCCGCGCCGCCGGCGCCCTCGCGGAGGTCGCTCAGGTACGGGCCCAATCGTCTTCTCTGGGGGTGGTGGATGCGTGTCCTGATGATTACTTTCTTGTGGTGCCTGCGGGTTCTTGCCTCCGGAACGCTGGGGCTGCGTGGCTGTGGAATGTTCAAAGATCTGTTTTTTTTTGTTCAGCACGTCCTGTGTCTTCGTGAATCTAATGTAGCGATGACAGTCGTTTATTTTTCGTCATCTGAACTGATACCTGCAGTTCCTGTTTGAGGAATGTTTTACTATTCTTTCACCCCTTTACTCCTTAACTCAACACAGTTCAGGATAAGTATCGCTGTCTATTTCATCTCATTGCTTCTAGTTTCATTATTTATGGATCTGAATGGATGTGGCTGTCCTTTCATTTTTCCATAGCGGTCCTGTCAATAACATGTGCACAATCTTGTCCTAATGACGTTAACTCCTAATGCCTTTCCACGACGCACTACAAAATTTTCAGTTATCTTTTCTGCTCCAAATTTGTTTGCCACATGTCAACTAGATAGGTTTACTAAACACTGGATGTAGATGTCCTGCGATCGTTATCTCATTGGATCTTTCATGATATTAGCAGTAATCTTCTTGAAATCCTTTTTTTTTTGTTTTTTATTAGGTTGAAGGACGCGGAACCAGTAAGCTATTGTGAAACTGAGCCAAAGAAAGAGAAGCACTCTGCAGATGGCAAAACAGTGGTAATAGAGGTAGGAGCCAAGGAAGAAATATACACCGAAGAGCATGACAAGCTCTTGGGTACATGCAACACTCCTTGGACTCTCTTTGTCGATGGCTATGGCAAGGATGGAAAGCGCATCTATGATCAAGTGAGGGGCCAAACCTGTCATCAGTGCCGGTAAGTTTCTACTGGTAGTGCACTGTTAAATATTTTTTTACTACCTCTTTACTACTATGATGTGGTTTGGGTATGTTAGATAAACATCAATTTGCAAACTGAAGTGTAGAGGCGAATTTTAATATTTGCTCAAGTTCGTTTTTGCTATATTGTATAATTGGCAAGTTAGTTTCCTTGTTCAGAGGTCTTTATGGTTAATGATCTGGAGGATGTTTGTTGTGTATAATCTTATAGCATATTTACTGTATTAATTTTCTTCACCTTTGGTATAATGGCATAATGCTTCCATGTTACAGACAGAAAACTCTTGGTCATCATACAAGCTGCTGTAAATGCCAGATTGTCCAAGGGCAGTTTTGTGGAGATTGTTTGTACATGAGGTGAGCATTTCTTTATAGTAATAGTAATTTCTCATTATTATGGTTAAATGCTGACCTGCTATGCTAGACAAAATTAAGCATAGAATTATCAATTTTACATTCATGAGATGTGTTATATCTGTCATTTTCTTAAGGACTGTATGTTTTTTTCTTTTTTTTTTGCACACCTCTCTAGGATTTGGGTTGCAATATATATAGAAAGTACTTAACTGACTTAATTTTGTGACAAATTTTCAGTTGCAGGTCTGTGCTAATTAAAAAGCATTCCATGTGTTCCTTAGTTGAAAATTGTTAAAACACTACATGCATCTGAATGTGAATTGAGCTCTGTTTTCTTTTCTCCATGCAAGGCTGTACTTGACAGTTAGTTTGTTTCTGGATTGACACTTTGTTGCTGATGCAGGTATGGTGAGAATGTGTTAGAAGTTAAGGAGAATCCTAACTGGATATGTCCAGTTTGCCGTGGCATCTGTAATTGCAGTATATGCAGATCTAAGAAAGGATGGTTCCCTACTGGTTCTGCGTATAGGAAGGTATATTTAATAGCATAATATTCCCTATTACCCAAACTGCTTAATGAAGCGGAAATAACTTAAAATAATATCTCCTTTGTTTCTGGATCATGTGTCTCTTGTTAGGTTCCATGTGTAGCCTATGTCTAACCTACTTGGTTGTGTGGCTCGAGGCTTTGTTGTTATTGTAGTTAATTTATGTTAGGAAAAAGCTAGGTAATAGACTGGATCCAATGTAGGTAGTATGCATATTTGGATCTAATGTTGGTAGTATGTATATACCAATTTGTCAATGATCCAATAATTCTGACAATCCTGCATCTTCCTCCATGCAGGTGGTTGGACTTGGGTACAAATCTGTGGCACACTTTTTAATTGCAACACATCGAGCGTCATCAGTTAACTCAGAGGATTCAAGCTCAGCTGACAAAAAGAAGTTGCTGTCTGCTAAATCTGAAACCTCATGCATTTCTGATCATGGTGGCCTGGATGCCAATGAGAGCCCAGAGGATGGAGAAACGAGCAGCAAAGCTAAGCTGAACAAAGCAACTCGCTGCCAAGTGAAGAAGAGTTCTGATGGCGACAAAGATGGTAGCATAAGCGAGTCCGTGGTGACATCTGATTGCCAGGATGATCAAGCCAACAAGGATGCTGGGTGTGTCACTCCATCTTCCAAGCCAATGTCAAGGAAGAGGAAGTACGTTGAACGAAGCCCTGACTCATCGCAAGCAGGCTGCGGTCTCGCTCAACATGCCATGAGCCCATGAACAGTGATCAGGATCATTGATCTCTTTTGCTGCCCTACTGCTCAGCCCCTTTGCGACGAAGTTCTGGCTTTTTCACTTACAAAGCAGTTCATGGTATCTGAGTGAAGATGCTCAGTTTCAGCTGGTGATCCTCGCAGCACTCTTTTGCAGAGCTATGTTAGAGCCTAAAACTATGTCTGCATCCATGTGTAATGAAATCGGCTGTACTTATGGCATTAGTGCCAATAGTTTATTGTGGATTTGTTGTGCTAGTCTCTCTGATGTGAGGTTGCGGTAGCCTGCAGTTTAATGTACAATTCATGTTGTTTGGGTGAAGATGCCCATTCTCAGCTGTTTTTTAGACGACGGAGACTATCTTGTTCTGGTTTAAACCTAGAAGTACCTTTCTCATGGATCAATTGTTCTGGTTGAGGTGTATAGATGCGACTTTCTCATGGCATGACTGCCATATGGAGCAGATTAGAGTTGTCTGACATGCTGAGGTGAGCCCTAGTCATGGCAAAATAATATCTTGTATTACCAGATCATTAGCCGGTTGCTCATCATATCGAATATGGTCATGTTGACAGACAAAATATAGTTGAAATTAAACCTGGAAGTGGCCAGTTGCTCATCATGCTCATATCGAATATGGTCATGTTGACAGACAAAATATAGTTGAAATTAAACCTGGAAGTAGCCAGTTGCTCATCTTATTGAATATGGCCATATCGACAGACAAAATATAGTTGAAATTAAAATTGTGTTTACATCTAGGAACTAAAGTTTAGTAAATGTTACATCAGGTATTTAGATACTAATTAGAAAGAATAAACATGAGTCTAATTAGACTTAATAGATTTATTTCGTAAATTAGTCTCAATCTGTGCAATTAATTTTATAATTAGTCTATGTTTAATACTATAAATTAGTGTCAAACATCCGGCGTGACGGGAACTAAATTTTTAGTAGAGAACCAAACACAAACCTAGAATTTATCTAGCAGTGATTGTCTGGCCAGTGCACACATACATAACAGGAATCGAACAACATTATTGAAGATGTGACTTCAAAGAAAACAATATACAACCAAAAGACTGGTACCGTGGTACATACATCCATGCGTCCACCTTTATTTCTAGTGTATATGTGGTCGCATTTTGCCCAATCTTACCAATTGGCTTAATGTGTAGTTGTCTGTCTGACCCATCTTACCCATGTAACAACGGCAAACACAGAGACCTTGTCAAATGCTTTGTCGAATAGACGAAAGTGAGCAATCCTCCATGATTTCTTGAATAAGAAGAGACAGAACACCACCCAGAGACCAACCACATATCCTATGCCAAGTCCATAGGAAAATGTAAGTACCACATGTTCATCTCTCTTTTGATCGCCATGCTTTGATTCTCCGTTGTCGTCGGTGCAATTCTTGTGAAGAGGATATCCGCAAAGACCAACGTTGCCATCATATATAAGAGGATTCTGTGCGTAAAGGGTGTCAAGCTGTGCCCCTGATGGGATTCTTCCCGTGAGATTGTTGTGACAAGTCCATGGAGCTTAAAGATGTTATATTTGACAGACTTTGTGGGATTTCTCCATAAAGATTGTTTCTTGAGAGGTCGAGCGATTCTAGTAATTGCATAACCCCAATCCTTTCTGGAATTTTTCCAGTCAAATTATTCCTTGATAGATTCAAGTTTATAACTGCATATAGAGAGGCTATTTCTTCTGGAATTCCACCGGTCAATTGATTTGATGACAAGTCAATAAACGCCGTGTTATAAAATGTTGAACTATAGTAGTAACGTTCTTGTCCCTTCATGGTCATAGACATTTTAACCGTTTCATGGTAATAGTCAGACAATATAGGAAACCCTGTTTCCGTCCGCCTTAAATTTGACAAATCATGGGGTAAGGTACCTGATATACTATTGCCTGCCAAATTTAGATGAAATAGGCTTCCAAGACGGGTAATAGTGGCTGGAATGCTTCCTGTGAAATTATTCCATGCTAGATCAAGGACATGTAGTTCTGTGTATGTTTCTAAAATCAGTTCTAGCTCTCCCGATAGCATATTGTTACCTAATATTAGTGTTCTGGCTCTCCTTTGCTGATTACACACAGGCAATTTTCCCTCCAAATGATTGTTGGCTAAATTCAATGCATCCACATTCAGGTCGCAAATGTTTGATGGTAGTTGCCCTAACAAATGGTTCCTGGAGATGCCCAATGCATAGAGATATACAGGCAGCAGAGGTATTGGACCGGTTAGCTGGTTCGAATCCAAGTAGAGCTCCGTAATGATATCATATTTTTCAAATTTGTTGGCAGTGTGCCACTGATTCCGTTCTTGGAAATGTCCAATCTAGATGGCTTTGAAAAGGTAGTAGCAAACCAGTCAGGAAGCCTGCCAAATATAGATGTGTTTGATATGTCTAGCTCAAGAATATTAACCTGGGACTGTAACCAGGTAGGGAATAGAGGACCCATTTGGCAAGATGCAAAAAATGCCCTTTCGAGCCTAAAGGGAGCTAACCACTCAGGATCCATTGCGATATTCAACGAATTAAGTGACAGGTCAATAAACTTTAATTTTTTTAGGGCAGCAAAATGTTGTTGGGTGATCACACCATCGAGATTATTGTTGTCGAGGTCCAGGTACTCCAAATTCTTGAGTGCACCGAGCTCGGAAGGCACAGGTCCGCTGAGGTGGTTAATAGAGAGATCAAGAATGCGTTAAGTCGGTCCATCTCCTATCCAATTTGGTAGTACTCCACTGAAATTGTTGAACACCAGATATATTTCCTTCAGCTTGCTCCGGTAACATTGTGGTAATCTTTGAAATAAATCTCTTATGTTGCCATAAAAAGAATTAAATGCAAAGTCTATGCTCTCCAAATTGCACAGATTTGTCATGTTTGCTGTCATGATGTGTATGCTTCCATAACTACTGCTAAAATCAAGGGCTTGGAGGGACATCATACCTCCCAGCGCATCAGGAATTTGACCGTATAAGTAAGTTTGTGCAAGGTCGAGATGCTGGAGGCTGGTCAAATTCCAGAACCAACATGATGCAAATTTTTTTAGATGAAAGGTTTCCCCTGCTTTATTTGCATAAAACAATCAAGAACATTCAGCACAGCGTATCGGTGCGTCCGCCAGCGTTAACAGTCAAAGCATAGAAAGCTAAAAGACCTAAAGGCCGAACGTCACAGACGAGCTCCCTAGAGTCGCGCACAGATTATTAAAGTTCATGTCTCTCATTCCCTCACGCGGAATCACAACGACGGAGCCCAATTACGAGGATTGCGGAATCACAACGGCGGAGCTCTAATCCAAAGACTGAAAAGCCGATGTCTCCAACGGAGATCTCCCCCCATTCCAGCAGATTCTTGGAGGCTGACTTGCTTTGTTCTCCAACATCTGGATCGCCGAGTCCACCATCGTACCCAGGTCTTGCTCGTACAATGGTTTCCATCTTCTTAGTGTTCTTGCCATCCAGATCAACACCATCCTCTCCCCTGTCCAAGTAAGCCCCTGAAAACACACTTTGTTACGTAAATTCCACAAACACCAAATCACCGCCGAGCTGATGATATTAGTAAAAATATGTTTATTGTTAGCAATCCAGAAAGTGGCTAAGAATTAAAAGCTCCAGTCACTTCTTAGGTCTAACAGCTCATCTGTCACAATCCACAATCTCTTAGCTACAACGCAATCGAAGAACGGATGATTCATAGACTCTGGTTCATTGCAAAATAGACAAGTTTTATCAGACACTTCCCTTCTCTTAGCTAAGTTGTCCCTGGTCAAGATCTTATTTTTGGATACAATCCAGAGAAAATTTGAACCCTCGGTGGAATCTTAAGTTTCCAAACTGCTGACACATACAGAGGAACAACACCTCTGTGGTTTAAAACTGCATACAAAGATTGAACAGAGTATTTACCGTTTGAGCTAAAGCTCCATATGATCCGATCATTATCTTCCTGCAATTTTAAGTTTTCAGCTATGCTTAAAACATCATACCACATGTTCATCAAATTCTCAGAAACTGTACGTCTAAAGGTCAGTCTCTAGAATTGACCATCCTACACTTGTTTTATAGTTTTACCTTGCTGGTTATTAATAACATATAAAGGCCAAAATTGTATAGCCAGACTAGAATTACCAAACCAAATGTCTTCCCAAAACCTAACTTTACTCCCATTACCAACTAACCATTTAATCCCCATCCTAGCGGCTTGTAAAGCCCATATAACACATTTCCAAAAAGAAGAAGCTACAGTATCATTACTGCACAGTAGGTTTGGGTTATGGCCCCGTTCGCTGGTCTGAAACTTGGCTGAAACTGGCTGAAAACACTGTTCCGTCTGAATTGTTCTGAGAAAAAAACACTGTTCCGGCTAAAAAAAGAAGCCGAATAAGCCGAATATAGGGTAAGCCGAACATGGCCTATTATTAGTGTTATACTTATAATCAATAATTTTTCTCCAAATAGAATCAGTCTGCAGCCCATATCTAAAAATCCAGGAGCAAAGAAAGATTTAAATTCCTCATGTCAGGGATACCAAAACCCCCCACCTCTTTCTTTTGAGCTACCAACTGCCAGTTAGCTAGGTGATATTTGTGACAATCTTCATTATTATTCCACAAGAAATGTGCCATCTGAGAATTAATCATAGCAATTGCCCATTTAGGGAATTTGATCACAGACATAAGATAAATTGGAACACTAGCAAGACAAGCCTTCAAAAGGGCCAATCTACCTGCATAGGAGAGCAATCTCCCTTTCCATCCTACAATTCTTTTAATAATTTTATCAATTATCGGCTGTAAGTCCTCTTTCCTTAAATTTGTATAGTGGAGTGGCACTCCCAAGTATTTGATAGGGAAATCCCCCTTCTTACAGCAATTTTTTTTTGAATATTCATTAATCCTAGATTCTTCAACACCAATTGTCACACTACAAGAAATGTTAGGGTTTATGTCATAATATCTGTAGTTTATATCATAGA